TTATCATTTCTTATTTTTGGATTAGGAAACAGAGGCAAAAAGTGGTTAAATAACTTGCATAAGGTGATGCAGTTGCTAAGTGGCAGAGCAGGATTCAAACCCAGGTGGCCTGACTCAAATCTGGGTCTAGGTCACTATTCTCTTGCAACAGGTCACTGCAACAGCCACCTTGTTGGTTTTCTGGCCTTTTGTCATAGCTTCCTCTAATCCTCCACCCTGTGGCCAGAGTGATCTTTGCTAAAACATCAGCCTGACTCTTGTCACTCTTCTGTGTAAAACTCTCTACTGGCTTCTTTTAGTGCCTTTAGGATAAAGTCTACACTCAACATGGCATTCAGGAACCTCCATAACCTGGCTAGCAAGCGGTTATCTCTTTGGCTCAAGTTTTTGGTTCTTTATAAAATGTTCTTTGTAAGCTATGAAGTCTGGACTTGAGGCCTGGTTTCTTATCTCTACTTTGAGACCCATTTCCCACCCTGAGTTCACACATCCTCAATATACTCATAAATTTTTTGGCTTCACTTTAACCACAACCCTGAGACACCAGCCACAGTGACAGCCTACACTTCCAGGCTTTTGCACATTGTTTGATGTGCCAAGAACACTAATTCCTTCCCACCTTCAGATTTTACTTCCTCTGATAAGCCTTTTCTGACCTCCTAAGACTAAGCTATGTGCCTCTTCTATGAGCTCTTACAGCACCCAGTACTACTTATATAATGCCCTATAGTGTTTTTATTTTCCTATGTGTTAGCCTGATCTTTCTAACCAGACTGTAAGTTTCTTGAAGATAGCAAATATACCCAGTACTTCTAAGTTAGGGGTTACTCACACAAATTCCTAATAATAACAGCTAACATTTATTCAGGGCTCAATGAATGTCAACAATCCAGTTATGTTGGTAATACTTTTCTCTTTTCCTCTATATGAGGAAACTGAGTTCAAGAGAGTTTAGTAGCTTGCCTAAGATAACCACAGCTAGGAAGCAAGAGAGGTGGGATTTGAATCCTGATATTGGAGCCTGTACTCTCTACCACTGTAAGAGGCTAAGGAAACTTAGAGTTACACATAGTAAGTAACTTACCTAAGATCACTGTACAGTGCTGAGACTAGGACCCAGGTCTTTCCAAAGCCTACACTCATAAATTATTTGATATACTGTTTCCGCTACTTTAAAAGGCAGGGCAGGCCGGGCGAGGTGGCTCACGCCTGTAATCCTAGCACTCTGGGAGGCTGAGGCGGGCGGATTGTTTGAGCTCAGAAGTTCGAAACTAGCCTGACCAAGAGCGAGACCCCGTCTCTACTAAAAATAGAAAGAAATTAACCGGACAACTAAAAATATATAGAAAAAATTAGCCGGGCATGGTGGCGCATGCCCGTAGTCCCAGCTACCCGGGAGGCTGAGGCAGGAGGATCGCTTGAGCCAGGAGTTTGAGGTTGCTGTGAGCTAGGCTGACGCCATGGCACTCTAGCCCGGGCAACACAGTGAGACTCTGTCTCAAAAAAAAAAAAAAAAAAAAAGGCAGGGCTATACTTATACTGGGTGTTGATAAATTTTAAAAACTGAAAATCTGGTTTACTGAAATTGGAGAATACCAGATCACCTCCCAAGAGAGGCATAATTGTAGCTTATTGGGTTAATTTACCTTTTATAATATATCAACAGTCTAGTCTTACTAACCAATTAAGTTTATAGTCTCTAGTGTTCTCCCTGCGACACTGAAGACTGTTTTCATCAGTGGGAAAGCCATATTCTCTAAGGCTGGTCTCTAAATCAAAAATGTACTCTCATTCAGGAATTTACTCTTCCTTTTATTTCTCAAAACCAGTGATGTGCTGTTTACAAATTCTCTGCTTTGTGGTTCCTCAGTTTCCAGTGTGGAATGTCTTATTTCTGAAAGTAACTTGTGATCAACAAAACTTCTTGGCTGTATAATTGTTTATCCTTAAGAAATTTTTGTTCTCTTTTTCCTTACATGGTATTCTGATTTTCCCCTTTCTTTCAAACATTTATTAAAAACTTAACTACGTACCAAGCACGCACAAAATGTATATAACCTAACTCACTGAAGCCCAGACTTTCAAAGAAATGGCCTGGGGGTTTAGATATTTTGACTAGAATATTATTTCCTTAACAAGCTTCTTAAAACCATCCATCCCCTGCTCAGTTTGCAATTATACACCAAAATATCCTTCAGCACAATCTCAGTGGCTACTTCTACAGCACATCATATGAAAAATAGCTAGAGCCAACTCATTAGGGCTTACTCTAAGGATTTTAATCAACACCTTGGCCTTCTTTTGCTTACAAAAAAAGATTCTTAAGCCTTTTAATAGCTCTCTGACTTCCTTATTGGAGCCCCCACAAACATATCCCGTTATCAAATGAACTAGCCATCCTTCTTGGGAAACACTCTGGAGGCTATTTCCCGATTTCATGCTTGGCTTTGTCTCTGGATTAGTATTCATTTAATATGAAACTGAGAGTCAAATATCCCTAGAATACTTAGTAAAATATGAGTATTATATTCCACAATGTCATCTTTGGGAATATAAACAATCCAAAATAAGTATTTGAGTAGTACTGTATCACATAATTATTACAGTAATATTTTCAGAAGAAATCTGAAGTTTGGAGTAACTATGGGCCATAAAATATGGCCATACTGAACCAATACATGAAGCAAAGTTCAAATCTGGATCATCAGAAAAAGATGACAGGCACATCTCTGAACTAAACTGATTTCCTTGAGGAAGGAAGGTACTAGACATATTAGAATAGGTTTTTGGAGGACTGAGAAACAAATCCTTCATTCCCCCCAAAAAATCAAATCATGCTGATAAATGTCTTAGTTACAGGGGAGAAAAACCAGAGATGACTAACCTGAAAAAAAGTCTCCTTCTGGTCTGTCTTATATCTTTTCTAGGCATTCCTGTTTCTGATAAGACATATGGCACAAAATATGGTTTTGCTCTATAGCAAGATATATTAAGTTAGGGAATACAGCAGTTTTTAAATAGAAGAATTAGGTGATAATAGCCACCTATTATCAAGGGAAGCCTTGAACTTCAGCGAAAGGAATACTGGCATGCCTACGTGAGCACAGCATATAATCTGAAAATGGTACAAGTACTGGCCTGTTATAGCCTGTCTCTGTTGTAATCAGAGGGAAAAGTATTACAATCCAGCAGAAGCAGCCCTTCGGAGTCTAAGGAGGAGCGTTTTATGAGACATCAATAACTGAACATTCACTGCATACAAAGGCAATAGATTAGGTGCTGAAGGATCAACCTCAAAGAACTCTTCACTCCTCTAAATTTAAAAACTGTACTCTCATTTCCTCAAGTCTGTATATTATATGCAATGTAACAAAATGCACATATTATCTCCTGCAGCAGTGTTAAACATAGGACTCATGAGAAAAACTGCGCAGAGCCCTTCTCCTTCAGCCTTTTGTTTATAGAAATATCCAACTGGTTCCCTGAAAATAGTATAAGCTTTCTTTAGCAAGTAGAATTATCACCCTGTTACTCTTCCTTTACCCTGTTTCATTTTTTTTCATAATACTTATGACTACCTGATATTCTACATATTTATCATCTGTCTCTCTCAACTAGAGAGGCTTCCATGAGAGCAGAGATTTCAAACATTGTGTTCACAGATGTATTCCCAGTATCTAGAACTATATCTAGCATGTTATCAAAAATATTTATCAAAATAATAAAATAAAAATATCCCTATTATGTTAGAATTGTTAAATTCTAAAAATGTGGCATATCTGTGTATGTGTGTATATGTGAGTAAATTTACAGACTCTGTGGTGTATGTAATTCCCAGTGTAGACCAAGTCAGCAGTCAGAGGATGAGAAGTTTGTGTGGGGAGATAGGAGAATGATTGCAAAAACGAAGCAATATATTTTATTAAATGAACTGAAGGGATCAAACTACTATCAGCAAACTGCTTTAGAGAGTGAACTAAATGTACCTCTCTGTTCTTTCCATGTCTGATATGATTGCAGTGAATTCAAATTCACTTCAGGTTAATTGGATTTACTAGCCTTCTTCCCTGATAAAGCTTTTAAAATTTATTGAGTAACGTTGTTTTCTTTTTTCTCCCTAAATTACTGCCTGAAGGATTGAAAGAGTCTCCCATTTCTATTCTGAGACTTGCCTGAGTCACAAGGTAGTCTTGGCGAATCACTCTGCTCTATCTCTCAGTTTACTGAGGCTGCCTGGGAACTTGAATTGTCAGCAAAACAGGAAGAGGGCCCCTCTGCCTACCTCCAAAAGGCCTAAGTCATATGGATGTGGTGAGATTTAAAGATGGATATAAATCATAGCAAATGGATTTCCCACAGGGTGGGGGGGAAAACACAAACATTTTACTTAACTTCCTCTATACAAATTCAGGGCTGGTAGAAAGGGCAGACTATTACAATATAGCTGAGCAAATTTTCCAATGTTTGAGTAACATGTATTTTCAACTAAAGATACCCCTTCTGTATTCCTACTGTATATGAATGACACCCCAAACCTCAAATATAAGAAATGTAACTTATCTGACCCCGGCAAAGTTATACTGTGCTTTCAAAAAAAAAGGTGTCAGTGTTGATAAACATGTATAACCACAAAGGCCCTTTTTCTTTTTCAAGGATGGGTATAAAGTGTTATTTCCACCCAGATACTCTTATTTGTGCCCCCTATGTGGTCTTGAATTCCTCATGGTATGCAGCTAGCTTCTTCTTCCTAAATTGCTCTGTGCTTTAGCACTTACAATTTTCCCCCACGATGCCTCTTGACAGAATTATTCTTTCTCTACTCACCTAAATGAAAATAGAAGAGATGAAAAACCCTCGGGATGCAGCTGTGCAGGTGTCAAACTAATCCGCTGCTAAGAAGGACCTGAGCCTCTCTGCTTCTCTTCACTTGGCTGAGTTCCTCTCTTGGCTCACAGTTAGCGATCTTGCATGGCATAGGAGGCTTAGGACCCAGGGGGCGCCTTTCAGCTGAAAAACACCTCTTGCTGCAGCAAGCTAGCTGGGAAGCTCCCAGTTCTAAAGAGAGGCTGTTTACCAGAAGAGCATAACAAGGGCAGGTCTGACTGCGAAGCTGGGGCTGGGAGGCAGAGCCGCGGCCAAGGGGACCCTGGTTGGACACTGGTTATTCGATCGCCTGCAGGAGGAAGGAGGCGAGGATGCTGTTGGCCTGGGTACAAACATTGCTTCTCTGCAACATGCTTCTAGCAGAAGCCTATGGATCTGGAGGTGAGATTACGATCTTTCCTTTCTGCAGCAACTTAATGAAGCAGAATGGTAAAGCCCCCTATTTCCCAAACGTGACCAGGAGGACAGGAGACAAAGCTCTTAGCTGTTTTTTTTTGTCCTTTGAAAGCCTTTTTCTCCCCTCCTTTCCTTGCCAGGGGCTTGCAACTCCATCTTTGCCATTAAGAACAAAGGCAAGAAGCCACTTTCTCTTTCCCTTTTCTTGCTCATAAGTGGACAGAACTTGAGGGTTCATCTCCTCTACTTCCCAAGTCTTGTTCTTTTCAAGACCTTAGCGCCCAGGCCCTCCTTCCCTGGCCTCCTCCTGTGGCTCTCCTGCTGAGGGGAGTGGGAGTTTGCAGTCACATCCAGGCAGCGATGAGGCAGGTTCCTCCTTTTGAGGCTCTCTTGAATCTTTTGCCTGACTGAATCAAGGCTTTTGTAGAATTCTTTTGGGAGTGTTGCCTGTTAAACTGACAGAAGGTAGCTGTATCTGCGGAGGAGGGAACACCAGAGTTTATATAACATGGACATTACAACACAGGGGTAAATTTCACGTCTGGCCACCCACTGACCCCAAACTTCCAACATCTCCACAAAAGGACCCTAAGCCGGGCCTCGGTCCCCCCACCACTCCCTCCAATGTGCCCACAAGTTCAAGAGTAGCAACCCTCTGCACTTCCGCAGCGCTTTCCGACTTTCAAGAAAAACAGCTAACACTCTGAGCGCTGACTGAGGGCCAGGCACTGGCTAGGGGCTTTACGGGCACTTTCTTTTCCTTCTCTTTCGGGCCTCACAACAACGAGGGTAGATGGGTGGGGGTGTTTCCACGAGAGGATAGTGAGACCCAACAGGGCCCAGGGTCCTCCAGGCTGGCAGGGGCACGGCGGCGGTGGGCCTGGCTCCCCGGCCCGCCACTCAGTGTCGGAGGCTCCTCTCCTTCACAGGCTGCTTCTGGGACAACGGCCACCTGTACCGGGCGGACCAGCCCTCGCCTGCGCCGGGCCTCCGCTGCCTCAACTGGCCGGACGCACAGGGCGGCCTGGCGTCGGCCCCCGAGTCGGGTGAGTGTCCACCGGGAACAGCGGCGGGGCTGGCGGGCGGCGGCCGCGGTCCCGGCGCCGGCCCATGGCTCCCTCTCTCCCCTCTCAGGCGCCGGCAACCACAACTACTGCCGAAACCCTGACCGGGACCCGCGCGGGCCCTGGTGCTACGTCAGTAGCGAGGCTGGCGTCCCTGAGAAGCGGCCTTGCGAGGACCTGCGCTGCCCAGGTACCCGCCCCGGACCCCGGGAACCCCGCCTTCGGGGACTGACTGGGAGCGGCGCACGTGCGGCCGCGCGACGCGAGCCGGCCCCGCCCCGCCCCCGCGCGGTCCGATTGGCCGGGCTGTCTCCAGGCCGCGGGGCCCAAAGCCCATTGGCCGCCGCGGCCGCGCGGAGTGAGCTCATCCTCCGCGAGCGCTTGTAAACAACTGCGGTGGGCGAGGCGGGATGTCTCTGCCGCGCGCCCCAGGCGTGGCTCTTGTCGAGACCCTCAGCATTTATTGACCCTCTTGGGGAGCGTCTGCAGTGTGCTGGACACGGTGCTCACAGCTACCCTGGGAAGAAGCTCTTTGGAGGATCTGAGCCTCAGAAAAGTTCAGCAGTTTTTCAGAGGCAGTGGTAGGGTCCAGATTTGAGTCCAAGTTTCTTAGACTCCAGAGTGCAGGCTTGCTGCTCCCGAGGCAGCCGGTTCTCCTGGCTTTAATGGGATAATCAGGGTAAAGCACTTCACACACAGATTGGCACAAAGCGTGCACTTAATAAATGTGAGCTGCTCAGAGCAGCCATGGATTGTCTCCTGGCGTGGAGGTGGGGGATCCCCTGGAGAAGATGGCAACCAGATAGCAAGGATTTGAAGAGATGAAGACGTGGGAGGCAGGAGAGAGGCCCTTCTCTACGGCCTTTCCCTCATATCTGCCTTGTCTCAGTGATGGTGCAGACCTCTCAGGCTGGATCTTGCCCCTGGGGTAGGGTTTGATTTCTGAGATGACCCGCCTCTGTCTCCCCTACTACTGGGAGGAGGTTCAGCTGTGGAATTCATTCGGGTCAGTCTCTGATGAGAGCTGTTTTCCACCTCACCTCTAGAGACCACTTCCCAGGCCCTGCCAGCCTCCACAGTAGAAACTGAGGAGGCATCTGAAATGCCAGGTGAAGATGAGGTGCAGGTGTTCGCCCCAGCCAACGCCCTGCCCGCCCGGAGTGAGGCGGCAGCTGTGCAGCCAGTGATTGGGATCAGCCAGCGGGTACGGATGAATGCCAAGGAGAAAAAGGACCTGGGAACTCTGGGTATGACGGCTTCACCCTCGCCCTTGTTGGGATTCAAGAGACCATTTGCTGATTGTCTGGGGTGTGGCTAATGGGACCTTGTGTCCTGTCCTTGGCAGGCTATGTGCTGGGCATTACCATGATGGTGATCATCATTGCCATTGGAGCTGGCATCATCTTGGGCTACACCTACAAGAGGTCAGTAGCTTCTCTTCTGGGGCCTCTTGCGAGGAGGGGAGGAAGGTACACAAAGTCAAAATCAAACTTTGTGGCTTTCTTACCCCAAAGGAAGCAAGGTGTTGAAAGAAGGAACATCAACTCACGTAGTAGAAACTTGGTTTATTCTTTACCAGGTGACCTTGGACAAACCCTTTCCTTTGTTGCCTTTACTTCTCACCCAAAAACCTGTAAGGTAGGGGTTCTTGGTCCCCATTTTACAGATGAGGAAGCCTCTGTCAGTGGTGAAGTGGCTTGCCCACAGTCACACTGCCTGGGAATGGCAGAATCTGGATTCAGACTCAGCTCTTTTGATACCAGATTCATTGCTGTCTAATCCACTGTGGAAATCAGGCTGGATGTTCATTGTAGGGACTGGGAAACAATTTTCTGTGGGTTATAACATTTTGCTATTAGAAAAGGTTTGCAGCCACTGTTTTGGCAGTTGGAGCTTAAATTTCTTGAGTCACAAGCAGTGGGAGCTCCTCTGATAGGAAGAAAAAAGTGAGTTGGAGCACAGAAAGTCTGTTTGCCACTCCTCACCACATGTGAGAAAGCCAAAGAGGCTACCTGTGAAACTCAAGAGAGAGGACTTGGGGCTGGAACAGCGGGAGGAGGAATGCTTATTTTGAAATGTCCCATGAGATGTCATGTGGAGAAGGTTCTGAAAGTCAGTGATGGGTGTATGAGGATAAACCAGAGTCCCATTCATTTTTACAGCACTGGCTGACTCCGGAAAATTCCTTGCCATTCTTGGACAAAATCAGAGGATTTGACTTCTAGCCCTGGGTGTCTGTGATATTTCTCCTCTGCACTCTAAGAAGTCTTCCTGTAAGGGAAGTGACACAGTGGCCTACATTTTCCAGTAGTAAGGGCCATGTTTGAGCCCACAGCCCCAGCGGATCAACCAGCATTATATAGTATAAACCTTGAGGCCAGGCGCGGTGGCTCA